ACCCCCCCAGACCGGGGCACGAACCCGCGTCCCCTGCATCGGCAGGCGGACCCCCAACCACTGCGCCACCAGGGAAGCCCCAGATTTTTAAATTTAGAATTTGTTGCAGACTGATGCTTTTGAAAAATAAAATAGTGAAGTAGAAAAGTAAAATGAAGCATCAGTTTTTAGTCATTAGATTTGACAAATGTATAGTTGTTCTGTCAGTTATCTATAAAGGTGTCTAAGCCAGTGCTATTCAACAGAACTTTCTATGATGATAGAAATGTTCTTTCTGTGCTGCCCAATACAACAGCCACTAGCCCATGTGGCTGTTGAGCATTTGAAATGCAGCTACTGTGGCTGAGAAGCCGATGATTTAATTTAAATTGTAATAACCACGTTGGACTGTTGGCTACTGTGTTGCACATTACTGAATATGTTTGCTCTTAATCTTTGTGTTTGTCTTTCGTGGACTTGTGAAAAACAATTGTGGACTGGCATGGGTCCACAAACATACTTTTAGCACTGTTTACAGCGTGGTCTCTAGGGCTGGAAAGCCTTTGTGTGTCTTTGGCAAGTTACTTAATCTCTCACTACCCCAGGATCCTCAGTTCTAAAATGAAGGCAATAATAAGAAACTGTTTCATAGAACTGCTGTGAGGATTAAACGTGGAAGGGTTGGGGTTAGGGAGAGCGTCAAGAAGAGATGACGTCTCTGAAAGGGCCTCGAAGGATAAGTTCAATAGGCAAACAGGAGAGAGCATATCAGGTAGAGGGAACTCTGAAACATTTGGATCATACTGTGTTTAGAAGAAGGGGTAACACTGCCCTAGCCCTATCACTGCTACCTCTATTTCTTCCTCTCTTTCCTAGTTATCTTCTTTTTTTAATCTTTTAGCATATTTTAAACTGATTGCTAGGTAACATGATTTTGTGGTTTTAATATGTGCTACCTTGTCAATAAGGCCAATCATTGCCTCTTTTCCTCTTCATTCCTGGGAGTTATGGTACCTGAATTTGATGGTAGAAATTGGGCAACAGGTGAGAAGGGAAGGGGCATCCTGTTTGAGAAGCAGTCCCTGGGTTATGGGCAGATATAGCTGTGAGATTCTTTTCCCCTAACAAATATTTCTTACTTACCTTGATTATTTTAGGAAGAAAACAGACTGGGGAAAAAAATGAAGTTCCATGTCTTCGTATTTGTTGGCGTTGTTCACTTTTTATCCCTGAGCTCTGGGAAAGCTGTATATGGGAATGGCGTCTCTCAGAGGACTTTTCAAGAAATAAAAGAAGGAATAGCCTGCTATGGAGATGCTGCTAAAGCAATCATCAACCTTGCTGTTTATGGTAAAGCCCAGAACAGATCCTATGAGCGATTGGCACTTCTGGTTGACACTGTTGGACCCAGACTCAGTGGTTCCAAGAGCCTAGAAAAAGCCATCCAAATCATGCACCAAAACCTGCAGGAAGATGGGCTGGAGAATGTCCACCTGGAGCCTGTCAAAATACCCCACTGGGAAAGGGGAGAAGGGTCTGCTGTGATGCTGGAGCCGAGAATTCACAAGATGGCCGTTTTGGGGCTTGGCAGCAGCATCGGGACGCCCCCAGAAGGTATTATTTGCCTTTTCAAGTCAATTTGCTGTGTTCTTTATGAAAACTAATGCCATGTGACATAACTGGTTATAGCGTGCGTGATTCATATTGTAACTGGGTGATAAAAAGGAAGATATAATCATTTTGCATTCCATTGGCTTGAGCTCTTTACTCTTATCCTCCTTTTTTCTCCCTTTTTTCCCTCTCTTTCTTTTCTGAAAGTGTCACGTTTTACAATGAAGCATCTACAGCTATTGGTCCATGATACTTATGAACTGTATCACTTAATAATTTCTATCTAGTATAACATTAGTATCATTCTGTAGAGAATTGAGATATATGTAAATAGGTTATAAAAGCTATGACTTCTTCCAAGTGGCCTCAGTGTACAGAATTTCTTAGAATTAATGAAATGTGGGACAGAGCCTTGCACATTGAATTGATTTGAGGCAATTATTTTTACAGAACCTGAGGTCTCTAATGCAAGGAGTTGTCTAGGGTGGAGTTCTAGCTTTACTTATCAGCACTCTGGCTCAGCCTCATCAGACAATGTAAATGCTTAGATCAGGGATATAAAACCAGTCAACAGTGAGCTCTCAGTTGGTATTCGACTATTCATGGACTGTGCATGTACTCACAGACTATATTCCTATGGCAAAGGAACTGCAGTTGGTCCTTGAACAACACGAGAGTTGGGGCACCAACCCTCCACGCAGTTGAAAATCCGTGTATAACTTACAGTCAGCCCTCCATATATACTGTTTGCTTCTTCTGTATCCGTGAGTTTCTGCATCTGCATATTCACTAGCCGTAGGTCATGTAGTACTGTTGTATTTACTGTTGAAAAGAAATCCACGTGTAAGTGGACCTGTGCAGTTAAAACCTGCATTGTTCAAGGGTCAACTTTAGTTTATAAAAAAAAGCTAGTTGAGCTTCTTTAAAAAGTTTATAGAAACTTTTGGCCTTCTCTAATGCCAAGAGAAACACCCAGTAGAGAAGCAGATGGTCAGCTTTTTAAAAACATCTTTATTGAGATATCGGGACTTCTCTGGGGGTCCAGCGGTTAAGACTGTGCACTTCCACTGCAGGGGCTACGGAAGAGTTCAGTCCCTGGTCAGAGAACTAAGATCCCACATGCCTCACGGCCCAGCCAGAAAACCCCAAAAAACAAAGAACAAACCACTTTATTGAGATATAATTCACATACCATAATATTCACCCATTTGAAACGTGCACATCAGTGGTTTTTAATATATTCACAGAATTGTGCAACCACCATGACTATCTAATCAGAGAACATTTCATCACCCCCCAAAGAAGCTTTATATTCATTAGCAGTTATGCTCCATCCCTTTCCTGCCACCCTCCTAAGCCCTAGGTAGCCACTAATTTGCTTTCTGTCTTTAGGGATTTGCCTATTCTGGATATTTCACATGAATGAAATAATATACTATAGTTTCTTTTGTGACTGGCTTCTTTCATGTAGCATGTGTTCCAGGTTCATCCATGTTGTAGCATGTATCAGTGCTTAATTCATTTTTATTATTGAATAATTTCCCATTTTACAGATATACCGTATTTTATTTATCCGTTGATCAGTTGATGAACATTTGTTTTTTTCCCCCACCTTTTGGCTATTATGAATAATGCTGCTATAAACATTCATGCGTAAGTCTTTGTATGTACATGTATTTTCATTTCTCTTGGGTATGTACCAAGGAGTGGAATTGCTTGGTTATATAATAACTCTATGTTTAACTTTCAGAGGAACTGCCAAACTGTTTTCCAAAGTGACTTCACCATTGTACATTTTCACTGATGTTTTCTAATTTTTACACGTACTTGTCAACACTTGTTATCTGTCTTTTTGGTTACAGCTGCCCTAGTGGGTGTGACATGATATTCATTGTGGTTTTTATTTGCACTTCTCTAATGACTAATGATGTTGAGCATCCTTCCATGTTCTTATTTGCCATTTGTGTATCTTTTTCAGAGAAATGTATACTCAAATCCTTTGGCCAGTTTTTAATTGTGCTATTTGAATTTTTATTGTTTAATTGTAAAAGCTCTTCATGTATTCTGGTTGCAAGTCTCTTATCAGTGTGATTTACTAAGGTTCTTTCCCATTCTATGGATTTTTTTTTTTTTAACTTTCTCGATGGTAGTATTTGCTGCAGAAACGTCTTTAATTTTGAATTAGCACAATTTATCTAATTTTTTTTCTGTTGCTTGTGCTTTTGGTGTTATATCTAAGAAACCATTGCCTAAACCAAGGTCACAAAGATTTATTCCTAAGAGTTTTATTTATTCTTCTAAGAGTTTTATAATTTTAGCTCTTACATTTAGGTCTGTGAGTTAATTTTAGGTGTGAGGTAGGAGTCCAACTTTTTCTTTTGCTGTGGTCATGCAGTTGTCTCCGCATCATTTGTTGCAAAGGCTGTTCTTTCCCCGTTGAACTGGATGTATTTCATTAATTGATTTTCAGATGTTAAACCAACCGTGCATTCCTGGGATAAATCCCATTTGGTTATGGTGTATAATCTTTTTTTATATGTCACTGAATTCAGTTTACTAGTATTTCGTTGAGCAGTTTTACATGTATATTCATAAGGGATATTGGCCTGTAGTTTTATTTTCTTTGTGTGATGTCTTTGTCTGGTTTGGTATCAGGGTAATTTTGGCCTCAAAGAATAAGTTAAAAAGTATTATGTTGTCTTCTGTTTTTCAGAAGAGTTTGTGAAAGATTGGTATTAATTCTTTAAGTTTTTGGTAGCATTCACTAGTGAAGCCATCTGATTCTGGGATTTTCTTTGTGGGAAGATTGTTAACTATTACTTCAATATTTTCCTTTGGTATAGATCTATTCAGATTTTCTATTTCTTTTTGAGTCAGTTTTAGTAGTTTGTGTCTTTCTAGGAATTTATTAATTTTATATAAATTATGTAATTTTTTGGCATACAGTTATTTATAGTATCCACTTACAATTATTTTTATTTTTGTGAGGATAAGGATTCAAATTATTGTTTGGTGTCATTTGCTTTCTGCCTGAAGAACTCTCTTTAGTTTCTTTGTCTTTCAAAGCCAGTCCACTAGCAGAGAATTCTCTAAGCTTTCATCCATATTTAGTTCTTTATTTAATCTTCATTTTTGAAACACAGTTTTACTGGTTATAAGATTCTTGATTCACAGCTTTTTACTTCCAACACATTGAATTTGTCATTCCATTGTCCTCTGGCTTCCATTGTTTCTGATGAGAAGTTAGCTGTTAATATTGCTGGAATTCCCCTGTACAGGCATACCTTGGAGATATTTGGTTTGGTTCCAGACCACTGTAATACAGTGAGTATTGCAGTAAAGCGAGTCACATGAATTTTTTGGTTTCCTAGTGCTTATAGAGGTTATGTTTACACTATACCGTAGTCTATTAAGTGTGTAATAGCCGTATGTCTAAAACAATGTACATACCTTAAATAAAAAATAATGCTGTTGGGAAAATGGCACCAACAGACTTTCTCAACACAGGGTTGCCACAACCTTCAATTTGTAAAAAAACACAGTATCTGCAAAGCACAATAAAATGAGGTATGCTCCTTGTCACAAGTCAGTTTGCTCTTCCTGATTTCAAGATTTTTTTCTTTTTGTTTTCAACATTTTAATTTTGACACACGTAGGTGGGAATTTCTTTGCTTTTATCTTGCTTAGAGGTTGTTGAGCTTCATGTATAGATTAATGTTTTTCATCAATTTGGGAAGTTTTCAGCTTTTTTTTACTATGAATATATTTTCTATCCCTTTTTTTGTTCTCTTTCCTTCTGGTACTTCCATTATGAGTATGTTGGTGCCCTTCAAGGTGTCCCGCATTTCTCTGAGGCTCTGCTCATTTTTCTCCACTTTCAGATTGCATAATCTATATCAATCTATCTATTAAGCCTATAGCTTAATAATATTTTCCTCTGTGTCAGAATAGCTTATTTTTCAGCCAGTATTTGGTTAGAGGTTGTGCTTAAGCCTCTTGTGCCAGTAAGGCTTCTGCGATGTGTTGATGGATCTGTGTGCAGCTTGGAAAATGTTTTCAATCTGACCCATGTCCGGTTTTCGATTGTTCCTAAGTAGGACCATGTGTATAGCCTTCCCAACCCCCAGGGTTTATTGTGATCCAGGGAGGGTTTTCCTTGGTCGCTTTTCCCTCCCTGGTTCTTTTGGTTAAACTTCTGATTGTTCTGCCATTTTGCTTGTTGTTAGCAGTATCATAAAGCTACCAGTACCCCCTAACTTGTTCTCTACCAAGCTCTCCATCGTTTCCAACAACACCTTTAGGCATGGGATTCTCTGTGTTCTGTTCCAAATAAAGTCACTACCCTGGTTAAGAACTGCAAAACTCTTCATCCTCCTGGGTTGCCTCTTCCCTGGGAGTTCCCAGGAGCTAGGCATAGTGATAGTGGCCTGCTTCCCCAGAGTGATATCCCTGGCAGGTGCTAGAAGGGGATGGTGGTAGCTACTGGTCTTTTCATCTTGCCCCTCCCAGCATGAGACCTCTGCCTATGAATGAGCTAAGATAGCAGTGATCAGGGTCCCAGTTTTCTCATGGCTGTACTTGGGGTAGGACTTCCACCATACAAGTAGGGGCTGGGTAGAGGAATGGGGACCTAGTCCTCTTGGAGTGGAGTGGCCATAATAGAGTTTCTATAACATGCAGTTGGGGATGGGAGAAGGAAGCAGGTGATGGCCCAATGCTACAGACTCTCATTATTCTAACTTAGATTTAGTATATTTTCTTGAATGAATGTTTCTCCACTTGCTGTATGCCCTTAGGACAGTTTTGAGAGACTGTAAGTGATTTTTTAAAAATGTTTTTTCCCAGTTAAATGTTTTGTAGGGAGGAAGATCTGCCAAGTTTCTCACTGTACCATTCTGGAAGTACCACTGGGATGGCTAGTTTTGGTCTTTCTGAGGCTGTGTGAGTCCTCTAAGGTGTTAGGGACCCCTCAGCTTGGGTTCTATATTGTCAACCAGGAGTTT